AGTGAAATGACTCTAACTGACTCAGAAGTATCTATTTATATGCATAGACTTCTTTACATTCACAATACACTGTAGACCAATCAGCAACCTCGGAATTGCCAGCTCATTTACTTATTCTTTGCATCTTCCCTTCTCCTCTGATTTTTCCTTTATTGCTTACTCTCATCTCTAGCATATGACCTCCACGGTCTTGCCCTACCAATGTTACTCGGTGTATTAAGGCAGTCCGTCTTCAAAGACAGAAATCTATCCTTAACCATATGTTGAAAGTTCCACTAGCTCTTAACCAGTTCATCATGACTTTTGATAATTGTATTACTCTTTGCAATAGATTTGCATGCTTATTCATGTCACTCACTTTGTTATGGTTGTTAGAAACCCATATTTTTGTTCCCTTTGGTTTGAATGATTAATTACTAAATCTATCATGGTAATTCGCACCAGCCAGCCTCTTCAAGATTCTCTTGAAATATAGGCCATAGGACAGAGTCACAAAGAACGACCACCTTTTAAAGAGAGCTTAAGGGAAAGCCTTCTAAAGACCATCATTGTGAAGTATGGACTCAACCACCTGACTTACCTCATCAAGTTGAGCAAGGCACAACTTGTGGTGATAGCACATGATGTTGACCCTATCAAGTTGGTGGTTTGGTAACCTGTATTGTGTAAGAAAACGGAAGTCCCTTATTGCATTGTAAAGGGATAATAATCTCCTCTTCAAGCGATAACATAATTTACCACTCCATGAATTTCACGTCACTAAAGTTCATCTACTTAACTTTAACCCTGATTTATGTATATCCTGGTTCTTCTTCCAGCTCGCTTACCAGAAGATTGCTGCTTGCTTGTGTTTGAACAGCGTGAAAAATGCCCATCAAGGTAAAAATACATTTAAACTTGTGAGATATCTATTATAATTTCATATATAGGATTTTCCCTCAATTGTTATACGCCTGGTTTAAATGATAAACATTTCATGTTATGGTAAAGTAACATTATAGAGAGGGGGATTTTTTACAAGTCATTTGGATTACAATTAGTCAATTGATAACATTTCGAAAATAACAAAGACAAAGATTCGTCTTCCAAGAAGGAATAAAGGAGAAAAAGAAGAGATACACAAACAGTGGACACAGAGTTGTTCCCATCAGTTATGTTGGTGAAGGGTATACAAGAAGCTGCTTATGAAGAGACGATGAGTGACATACCAATCAGAAGAGACGAAAAGATGTATTCAAAGAAGAGAGAATTGAAGTATTTTCACGATCGTGAATTGGAAAGATTATCGTTTCCCTATTTTGTACTTGGAAAGATAATGTGTTTTTGTTGTTACTAGGAGAGGTTACATGATCATTAGACGTCTTATAATAAATGGGTTGTCATCATTGTAATTGCTGCTCATTTATTTGTTTCACATAGAAATTAACCTGAATTATCGTCATTACCTTAAAAACAAAATAATGTCTTTTTTCTTTAGAAAAAAAACAATTTAATCATGAAATAATGAGCTTTATTACGAACTCAAATAGAAAACTCTACCGAAGATTTATAAGAAAATTTATGAGTTTGATTCCGTGTCTATTTCTTTTGCTTGTCCACCGCAATGGCTAATAAGACGCTTGTAATCACTGTTTAATGTATAAAGTAATAAGAACTGCGGTTAAAGCAAAGAAAACTACCGAAAACGCCGATAAAGAGACATAGCTATATAGATATACACATCAATTGATAATATTTTAAAACAAAAACGAGAAATTATGATATTTAGAGGTTTTGAAAAATAATTTTCGGATTAAAATAGTTTTAAATATAATT